ATATATATATATATACACACACACACACACAATTTCAGTCCCAGATTTCCTACTCTATTAACCCGATAATTTGGCGAATTATTACAAGCCAGTTGGCTTGTTGCGTAACAATGGATCAACATTTAATCAATTGTATTTATTGTTTGTATTCAGAGCTTGGTTTCTAGAAGAACGTGTCGGAATGGCGTTCCGATATCTCGAGAATTATTAAATTATATTATAAATCTATTAAAATGTTTATTAAATTAATAATTAATTCGAGAACCCGTTCCGGACCTACTTTTTTAACTCAAGCACTGATTGTATCAATAGTTATAATTTAATTCATCGTAATGATATGTTTATTTACTAATACTATGCAACATAAGTTAAAAAAGATTGATATTAAGGGGCCCAGATGTGTACTTAGCACCCTCTTGGTTTGCGCTGATGACTCTTATTCTTCCTTTACAATGTGCACGCCGTCCACGGCTGACGAGCAGCACCGAGCAGCACCGATTTGCTTCGGTTCAGGGCTTACAAGCGTGGTCTTCCGGGGCTCAAAGGCCGCCGACTGCACGGTTGGCTGTGCATGCCTTACGACTACACTGCTGCTATCTGGGGGCGACACGTAAAATTATGAGCTTCGATTCCGACCGCTAGATAGCTCTGCAATGCAGCCTTCATTTGTTTTCATTAGTATGGCTGCGAACATGTGGTAAACAGTGTTTGAGGTTATTTGGCGTGAATTTCTTGTTGTTAATTGTTTATGATAATACTAGCAATATTGACTCTCTGTGTGTTTTGTGAAATGTTATTCGTATGAACTATTCATACATTTACATGTGTTGAACATTCAAAAGTATGTTCTAATTCTGATCACTGGTGTGCCGCTTCTGCTATTGTACATATTTTAGTGGTGTGACTCCAATTATACGTACATAAATACATACATATTTATTATTCAGAAATGATAGCTTTAGCAACTGCGCGAAGGTTAGCCAAATATTCTACGAATGTTTGGACATGGAGTCGACTGGATCGTATGAATCGAACGTTCCGAACAACCACAGTTTTTGCAGTACAAACGTTTGTGCAAAGAGAGAACGAGACAATGTATTCAGTCATAAAAGCAAATCCAGAATGCGCCAATACGCTTATGCGATTGTCATTAACGCGTGCAGTGGAAGCACCCGAATTCGAGAATGTGTTGATGCGAGACTGGCAATCAGATTCGCCAGAAAATGTAGGTGAAGCTTTCAACCTTATTTCAGTGTATGGGCCTCAAAACGGTCGCGAAATTACAGAAGAAGCATTCAACAATATCTGTGATGCTGTCAAGGTAAGAATAGTGAGGAGAATGTGAACAGACCTGACCTAACCTAACCTAACCTAACCTTAAGGCGGCTCCACACGTTCGGCATTCACCCTGAAGCTCGTCCAATCCCGAACAGCTGATGTGTTCGGCGAATGTTCGCCCACTTTGATGTGTCCTAAAGACCAATACGCGGTGGGTAGGGCGAATACCGAACGTTCTGCTCAGGTTTCGGCGAACTGTTGCTCGGGATTCGCCGAATGCCGCATGTGTGGAGCCGCATAACCAGCTTCCAGGCGCGAGGAAACTTCATTTGTTACTTGCCTTTCCCACTGTACCAATTTAAAGTTGTGTACCATGATGAATACCATGGTGTTAATATATGCGTGTACCGTGCGTAGGGAATTCAGCTGGTGTTATGTTACCTCTCAGTCCTACCCATATTCTGTACTGGTCATAAAATGTTTTATCGAAAAAGAAAGGGAAATATTGAAGTGTATTGTTGAACACATAAGCCGATGCGACCAGTGAAAAATTCGTATATTACGGATATTACGTATTTACGAATATAACGCAAAGCAGTATTAAATACATGAAACTTGTTTGTTGTTTAAATTGGTTTCCTTTTTTTCACCTCCGGTATTTCACTTTATCCATTATTTTGTATTTTTCTCCATATTTGTAGTCTCCGATCTGTTTCAGAAAAAAATGTTAACAATACCCTTTACCCCTAAATTAAAATATGTGACATTGTTTAAAATAACAATCCTTTAGTTGATTGTAAATACATTTTATAACTTTTTAACTTTTTGAAATTCACGACAAGAAAGGTCACAACTCAGGCGGGAAGAGTTATGAACTTTCAACTTTTGTAGGAATTGAGTTATGAACGTTTCTAGTAATTTATTTTCATAATATTGATTACTTTAAATGCTTTCCTATTTATTTCTTAGCATTTAGTTACTTCCATCCCTGCCTTCCCGATGTGCTTTCCCCACGTCTGTCAATACGCTATTTGATTTCGTTTCCTGAGTCAACTTACACGGTATAAATGCATGGTTTATTTCATTCGAAATGGTCATTACCGAAGGTTATTAATCATAGGCTTGCTCTGCATAAAACAAAAGGAGTGAGACAACTAAATTTTTTGGATCCCCTAAAATTTTGATTTACTTATGACATATTTTACAAGGAAATAAATAAAACACGTACAACTGATTTAATGTTGGACCATTTACAGGTTGCTAGTTGGTTTGGAGAACATATTCCCCAAATAACATGCATCTATTTCCCAGATTATTAGTTTAAGAAGGGAGAAATAAGAAATTGATCCTATTTACGAAAATAAAATTATATCGTAGAGCTTGTGTCCGCTTTCGGAATTTTCAAGGGGGCAGGGCCCCCTGCTCCCCGCACACGTGTTACTTATGATATTTTCTTGTAGTAAAAGAATAAAATAAAGCACAAATAGATAAATACACGTGCAGCACTTCTTTGTATTTGGTTGGCTGTGATTGGAATAATTGAACATCCATTCGGTTTTCGGTTTTCCCAAGGGGAGTAGGATTTTTCAGGTGATTATCTCTGTTTTCATGCAGGGCATCTCTGGCAAAGTTCGCAGTGTGAGTCTATAGTATAGGTATCCACGAGGAGTTGAGTATCCTTTGTCCAGGGTGAATGCTTGTTGCAGTACAAGAATTCTTTGCTGCATAGACATTCAAATACGTATTTCCAAGTAATTATTTATTCATTCTTAAAGAAATAATGAAACCTTTTGCGGGTTGTTACGCACGGTTAATCAGTGTAACTGTAAGTTAACATGAATATAAATGGAAGAATTACAAAAGCAATAAAAAGAAAATGCACACGATACTCATATTGTATATAATAACTCCAAATATGGTAACTACAATGTATAAGCAAAAAAAAAAAACTTACCAAAAATGATAACTAGGCTGTATATCTTGCACATTTGATTTTTTTCTCTTAAGAGAATTTTACCTTTTTATGAAATATAAAAGAATGGAAAATAATCCAATTATCTTTGTCCTACTATTCACATCTGAGAGGCTTGTTCCACGATCTGCAAGTCGGAAGCAAGTGAAAAGCCTTCAATTCGTATTTTACAGTGCATGTGCTAGAAGTGTCCTCTAGGGTATTTTCCCCAGTCCTTCCAGGACTGTAAGGAAAGCAGTGTAAATGCAACGCAATGTGTGCTCGGGTCGCAGGCGAAGTGCAGCGAGATGAAGGACGAGCACCTGCTGGGAGCGCTGCGCGACCTGTCCCGCTGGCCCATCACGCGCGACGTCAAGGTACGTGCATGGCTTGTACGCGTGTGAAAATGGGTTTGAACGATAAGAGTGGCTCTCTTGTACAATTGGCAATCGCTACCATGTAGTAATAGCACGCGTATGTATGTATGCGAATGTCTGTGTGTGTGGGTGGGCGTGCGCGCGAGCGAGCGAGCGCATGTGTGTGTGAATGTGTTATTGGATGTGCGTGTTAAGAATGTTTTCGATACGTGTGAGGGTATGCCACTGCGACGCAGAATAGAGTGGGCATATGAAATGATTGGGTGTGAGTGCGTAGGTGAAAAATAGCTGTTGCGTCCCAAGATTTTACTTTGAATTTTCTCAAAAATGTTTAAATACAGGCAGACAATACTTATGAGCAGGAAATGCTAATTATCTTCAATCTATCTCCACTGGAGGTTCTCTTACATTTTTAATGTTGTCTGTTTGACGTATGAGGTCCAGATTCTTCCGTATTTACAATAACTTTGTTTTTGATGCCAATAAAATGTATTTAAAAACATATCTATATTTAGACGGCCTTTTCCACGGAATTGCAGTACTGTTCACCAGTCGACTAACATCGAAATCACCACGATGATGAAAACATCAATACTAAGTACACAATTGTTAAGATGATAAGCCTTGTCAAATACTGCCCAGCTCACTGTTCCCGGTCATCCGAACACAAACAGCAGCACATTATTATGAATGAGCTCGCACGCGACGGAGTCAATATCGGAAATCCTTTCTCATCTCTTTTTCGTCAATGCTGCTTGAGAGTAAAAACAATGTGTCCTCCCGCGCGCCGCGTGAGAAATCGTGTTGTTTCATTTTCTGACTCTTACTAGTGGGGAAAAAAATATCTTTTGCCAATATTCTGCCTACTAAAGACAGGGAAAACATATAAGCGAATCTCTTACTTGCGAGGGGGCAAATGATCGTAATGTATACAAATTAAAATATCGGTTTCAAAGGCAAGGTGCCGCAACATCAGCCAGATCGATTGGGGAATATCAATATTAGAGAAAATCCGCTTACCCGTTTGGCTGCTAGCGTTGTTCACAGTAAGACGAACAAGGGACACACGTTTTACCGTCATTTGATTTTTCGATATCAAGGACGTATATCCACAAAACATGGATCCTCTACATCATGTGTTAGAAGATTATTTTTCTACCTTTAGCATCTGGATTTATCTACTTTTTTCGGTACCAGACCCTATTATAAGGGGTTTTTTTCTGTAGGAAATTCGCCATTTTTCCGCGCAGCTGTACGTAATTTTCTGTCTACTCCGTAAAAGAGAAAGTAAAACTAACCTGTAAACCGGGTTGAAGGCGCGCAACTTCGACATGTGGGCGGCGCTGGACGCGGCGTGCCTCCCGCGCACCAAGGGCTGGTCGCGCGCGGAGCTGCTGCTGGCCGCCGACCACTGGTACCGCCTGGGGCTGGTGCGCAGCAGCAAGTTCATGGTGGCCTGCATGCGCCGCCTGTGCCGCAAGCCGCACAAGCTGACGGCGGCGCAGCTGGTGCAGACCATGTTCTACCTGAACGCGCAGCGCCGCCACGCGGCCGTGGCCGAGGCCTTCGAGATGGAGCACGCGCTCGAGAGCTGCGCCGAGCGCCTGTCGCTCGAGGACCTCGCGCTCGTCGCCGCCGGCTACTTCAAGACCGAGCGGAAGATCCGCAGGTGGGTGCGCACGCAGTCTTTCCCACAGCGTTACACTACAGGCGAGCATGTAAATTGGGGACCAGAAGGAAAATAAGGGTTTAGTGAGAGCGTAGTCTTCCGCGGTTGGAGTCATTCTGTAGAAGAGAATGTAAAAAGAATTCATTTTGAGTTTTGTAAAGAGGTACCTACTGCCCCCTCTCTTTCTTCACCATAGGTCGATCCTGTTGTTAACAAAATTCCATAACTATCTATTCATAACTATTAGATCCTTTCGTATAGACTTACATGAACTTTATTTATTTTTATTCTTCTTGAATGCAAGTGTTTCAGAGTTTCGGACTTCCTACATTCTTTTGTCACTAAAAAACTCAACGTACTAGTTTCATCTAAATCAATGCAAAGTAATACATTCTTTTTTTTTGAAATTCATGCACATTATCTTTAGGCATATTGAAATCATTAATAGTATGCTTCATTATTCAATATGATAATACGTGTTTTAATTTTTTAAATATATTTTTCATTTCAATAGCCTTCATTGGTTAGCGTGCTCACTTTCCATAGCGGAGCCCCTTGCTCGACTCCCGGTCAGAGCAAATATTAATTGTTCGCTTTTCTTACAATGTCCCTATGCCTATTGCTGTTTGAGCTCACTTCTCAGTTTGAGAATACTAGAAATACTGTGTAGGATGGCAATGTATTCACCGCACGCACCCTTTTAACTCATGACCGCAAGGCCGGAAAGCTGCTGGTAGGCCTTAGCTCGTAGAGAGATGTTAAGAACATACATTGTCCATTTGAATACTTGCACAACAGAGATTTTTAAGTACATTTCTTGTTTTATCAATGGCTACCAAATTAAAAGTGAGGATGTCACAAATAGTGACAAAATGCATTTTTGTGCATATTAAAATAATGCATTTTACCAAAGCAACTTCTCGTCCGGATATCAGAGATCGTTAAGGCAGTAGTGCCGAAGCGATCTCGGACTGAAGGAACGCGGGTTCGAGTATCGCCTCGGGCATGTGTTCGTCCTTTCACCCGTTACCATCACCATATCACACCATATCGTAAATATCTATAGTGGTCGCTAATGACCTAGCAGTTGATGCGACCTTAAATAAAATTAAGAAAAAACAAACAAAAAACAATGCAACTTCACGTACATACGTATTATGTATAGAGAACACGGAGAAGTTTCCCCAAATACAGGGTACGTGCCGTGAAATGTTAAAGGTTAAAATATCCTATGAGAGAGACGTCTCAAAACCTGCTTAAACAAATTTACTTTGCGCTCCGCTTGTTTTAGCAACAAGGCTAACAACGTGTTTAAAACTCTCGGTGCAATTTTTTCATAAATATTTCATAAGATTCCAGGTTCCTTTAAGTGAAGAGTTCATTTCATGTTCCTTTACGGACGTAGTCTAGTGAACTCGGAAATTAGCAGTTCCATTCCCGTGCATGTTATGTTCCCTTTACAAGGTGCTTGGAGCAAACTCTGAGTGCGGTGTAACCTTTGCCGAAAGTAGCTGTTACGTCTAACGAACGTTGCAAACTATTATGTACTAACTTCCTTAACATTTACTTATATTTAGCAAGTGAGAAAAGGCTTTAGTTGTTCAGTTGATGCCTCATACTGGTGATATTTGGATATTTTGAATATTTCTCCATATGTATATTATTGATTAAGTTTTTCACTGCAAATGATAGGTAAAATAGATATTTTTAATCTAAGTGAGATAGACGGACTTAGATGGCTCAGAGCATCCATTGATGACAGTGCATTACCTGTTAAGGAGAGGTCCTAGGGTTCGAGTTCCGACGCTGGTAGGATTTTCTGCATTGGCTACATAGCTACGTGGAATTAATCGCTGACTGGAGAGAATCCTAGCGGCCGGCTGCTCTGATCAGTAGTTTTCCGTGGTTTCTGAGATCAACGCCGGGCAAATGCTGGAGCAGTACCCTAACAAACGGGCCACAGACCGCGCGGGATCTTTACTTCCTCTTCGTTGTGTTCTCACACTTAAGACTTACATGCACTACATGACCACTCATTCCGGGAGTCCAGTTGCGAGTTTAGAGCTTGTACCGGCTGGTGGGGAATCCCCTACAAGCCAAAGTGTATGTCGGGGCCGGATGTCAACCTCGAGCGAGGGAAGATCACGGCCACCTCCCGCTAGAAACCATGCTCAACACTTACGCGACTACTGACCGTAGCAGCTAACGCGCCCGGAATCACTGGATCGATGAGATGGGAGAGTCGATGTCCGCGTGGGTCTGATCGAGTGTCGTGTCGCGCCGTGGCGTGCGCAGCGAGCGGCTGCTGGGGCGCATGGTGGAGGTGGCGGGCGAGGGCGCGGCCGCGGCGCCGGACGTGCTGCTGGCGGCGCTCATGAAGGTGATGCGCTACTCGCTGCCGCTGTCCATGATCGACCAGCTGTACGCCATGCAGGGGCGCGTGCTGCCGCACGTGCCGCGCTTCTCGCTCATGACCTGCACCCACGTCGTCCTCGCCGGCACCAACGCACAGGTACGAGCGCGTTGCCCAAGCGAATCCAGGAAGTATTTGAGGGCAG